GTGTTGTGGGTCTCATTGTTCTCTTTGGGGTTCTCATCAGAAGTATTTTTCAAAGGAAGAAGGGAAGTTTGGTACATGATAGGGAAGACTGAATTTATGAGAAAATTTGTCTTGTTCTACATGTGTATATCTTGGAAAATGAATTAAAGATAATATATATGTGCAGTGCCATTGTTGTAATTTTTGGTTGACGACTCAGATGTACAGGTGGGTTTTGGTGAGCTGTTAAATTTTTAGTGGCTCTCGGCATTATCGGTAGCTCTATAACAATGGCATCATGAATTGCTAGTGGTTCCAACAAAACTTCGCTGGTTCTAGCAAAAAACTAGAAATTGAATACTTCTGGCAACGCCTCCAACCATACGAAATCCCATTTTGGGGAGGTGCTTGAGTGCAACCGATAAAAACAACACCTGCATAGGATTTGGTAGGTTCCCCAAGCTCTGCACGGGATTTTGGAAGATTTTGCAAGCAAACAATAATCTTTTGCAACAGTTTCCAAGGTCATAGAACTTATGCAGCCACCCTTGCATTAAATATGGTTGCAAGTTGTTGATGGTGACCAAAACAGCATCTCTAGTTAGTTTTCAACAAGATTTCTAGCATCTGGTTAGCATCAAATGGAACTGTTTTGGGAATCATGTTTACTTCCACGTCTTTGCCACCTAGCCTTTTCTATCGAAGTCGGGCAGCATCGCCAACGCCAAACTTCACTGGCGCGAATGCCTTGCTTCACCAGACGAGCAGTATTCACCCATCCATGCCTACCAAGCTACTACTCCCATAGTTTATCTCGAGTAATTCCCATGAGTTTTGACTCATGAGCTTGTGTTTATCTATAATAGCAGCAAGGCACATGTGAATAAATGTTCAAATATTTAAGCAAAACAAATATTTAAGCATAAGAAATACATAAATATATGCAGTGAAGAAGGAAACTCCTTTGTATGTTGAAGGGGACTATGTGGATGAATATTTGCTACTTTCATTTGTTTGCTAGCCACAGCCGATATCAGTATATTACTGTTGTACATGGTTGGCATTGCGCCAGAATAAGGAACAAGTGATATGGGTGTGTACTGCGATATCGTTGTCCCGAGTCAAGCTTTGTTGGCTGGCGATACTTACTAACACATAAGACATAGAAAATATGTGTTATGAGTTGGGATTATCGACGACCAGTAATTTTGTCCCTTTTGGTAGAAGAATGATAATGTGCATGACCGCTGGCCATGTTATATACATATTGCAGGGTTAGCCATGAATAGCTTCCCTATAGCTAGAGGGACAACAGTGGCTAGCTTTGCCCATGGTTGGAGCGTGAACTG